AGCTGGCCTAGGTCAAGTTCAGCTAAGCCCAATCAGCAGAATCTCAGCCACCACAAAAACCAATACTTGTTATTTTAAGCCAGTAAGTTTCAGAGTAGCTTATTATGGAGCATTATTATGGCAATTGTTGACAAATACAGCCAAAAGGGAGTAAAGCCAAGATTCAAAACTGAGGCCTGTCTGGCTCAAAAACCCACTATCATCCAACTACGTAAAAGCGTTTTCTCAACGGAATTAATACCCCACCTCCAGGATGTGCTTGGTACACAGTAGAGATGCAATAAAAGTCTGCTTTGTTAATAAATATAAATATTGAATGTGAATTTTTAAGAAATTCAGTTCATTTTCAATATGCTACTCTTACTACCTTCCCATTACCACATCATTAAGCCACTGATTCAAAAACATTGTGAAGGACATTACACCACACCACCTCATTTCTCAAACACTAAATCTAAAATTTTCTTCTCCTGTAAGTCCCAGAGCTACACACAACCAAGTCCAAAACAGTATCTCCAAATTAACACTTTTAGAAAATAAGTTGCTATGTGCAAATGCAAAGGACAAGTTTAAATTAAAAGTTTACCAGTATCTGAAAGAGTGAGGCTTTCACATAGATATGCACAACAAATATTTGTTGTACAGCTACCATTTACCAGAAAACATTCCAGGCAATGAGAATACAAAGAGAGACAAAATCCCCACCCTCATGGACCTTGCATTCTGGTTAACACTTAGACAGTGTTATGGCATTTTCCAAGTGCTTTACGTGCATTAACTCACCTCTAACTCCTCATATACCTGTGAGAGACTTACTATCCCCTCAGAGAGGTGAGAAAATGGAGAACCATAAATGACAAGTAATTTGTCCAAAGTCACAAAGTAAGTTGGCAGAGCCAGCCAAGGGTCTGGGTTTGCGTCCGTACTTTTAACTACTATTAATATGAGCAGGGGCACCTGGGTGGCACAGTCAGTTGCGCATCCGACTCTTGGGTTTCGGCTCAGGTGGTGATCTCAGGGTCATGAGATTGAGCGAGGCATCGGACTCCACGTTCAGTGCAAGTCTGCTTGAGATTCTCTCTCCCTTTCCCCCTCCCGCCCACACTTCCCACCAGGCTCGTGTGCATGTTCTCACTCTCTCTCTAAAATAAATACAAAATAATAAAAACAGTTTTGAGTCAAACAGGATGAATTCACTCACAAAATCAAACCTATATACAAACGGTGCGGGTGGAAGAGAAGCAATACAAATTGGTCTCTAAGACACAATAAGTGAAGAAAAGCAAGAAAAGCAAGAAAAGGAAGAATGCATCTTTGTTTCACTGTGGCCAACAGCTAATTCCTAATTTTGAAATAAATCTTTTCCCATACTGCCAAAATCTGACAGACTCCCTTGTTTTACTTGAATACTATTTCATTTTTTCAAAAGGTGACATAAAGTTCCCAATACAGAGCACAATACAGTTACTACTCATTTGGTATATATTAATAACCTCAAGAAAAATAATTCTTAAATTCTTGTAACAAACATAATTAACTTTTTTCTTTTTTTTTTTTTTGAGAGAGAGAACGTGCACACATGAGGTGGGGGGAAGGAGCAAAGAGAAAGAGAGAGAGAAAGAGAATCTTAAACAGACTCCACGCCCAGCACGGAGCCCGAGGTAGGGCTCGATCCTAGGACCCTGAGATCCTGACCTGAGCCGAAATCAAGAGTCAGATGCTTAACCCACTGAGCCACCCAAGCACCTCAGTTAACTTAACTCTTACAACAGAATTCTTGTATTAAATATAACTTAAATTCCTGTAACAGTTAAAATTAAGGTATTAAAAAAACTACCTGGAGAACCACAATGGTTTTAAATCCGTATCAATCCTCTTATGAATTGTAACTAAATTTCTCATTTAAAAAGCTCTGTTAAAATAGATATTGTTGGGTGCCAAAAGTCATCCACAACTCACCCACCCACCCGCCTATTTGATAGGCCCACACCTGGACATCTAACTTTAAACCCAACACCTCTACCTCAGAACTGCTGAATCCCCGCCTGCCCAGTGGGCTCCTGCCTCAGTCTTTCTAACTCAGGAACTGGTGATTCTGCTACTCCAACTGATCAAAACCTTCGAGTTATTCCTGACTTTCCCTCACACTCTATACCCAATCTATCAGCAAACGCTACTGGCTCTAAGTTAACAATCTATGCAGGATCCAAGAATTTCTAAGTCGTCCTGTTCAAGTTTCTCTCTTCTGCCCCCTAAGTTGGTGTCCCTGTTGTCACCACTGCCCAAAGCAGCCAGAATGAATCTATTAAAAACCACTCCTTGGCTCAAAACATCTGAATGGCTTCCTACTTCACTCAGAATAGAATCTGACGTCCCTACTGGGGCTCACAGCCCCTACGTGATATGGCCCCTCTGCTAACTCTCTAATCTTGCATCTTACCACACTTCCCAAGCACACTCATGCCTCAGGCATTGCACATGCTGTTCACGCTGCCTGGAATGTTCTTCCCCCAGATAATTTTCATGCCTTCCTCCCCATCACTTCAGTCATGTCTCTGCATTCCCTCCATCTTATAAGAGATACTTTTACTATTAATACACAGTCATCGTTTACATGCTTAGCCCACCTTATTTTTTCCATAGCACTGACTACACTTAAAAGTAAATACTCATTTGTTTATTGTCCATCTCTGACACTGCAACATCTGCTCCACAAGAGCAGAGGCATTGTTTAATTCACCACTCTACCTGCCTCCTGGAACAATGCTTGGCAAAACAACCCCACTAGCCCCGCTCATTCTGATGATCAACAAATAAGAGCAGTGCTCCTCAAACTTTAACATGCATCAGAATCACCGACAGGGCTTGGAAGGCAGATTGCTAGGCCTCAGCCCTAGTTTCTGATTCAGCTAGTCTGGGGTAGGGCTTGAATATTTACAAGTTCCCAGAAGGCATGGATACTATAGCCCTGTGACCACATTCTGAGATCCACTGACCTAGACAATGTTACACCGCAAAACAGTTGTCAGCAACAGGAGCTGACCATGGCAATGAATCCCAACTGGTGGAAGAAAGACAGGAATAGAGTGCAAAGTTACCTCCTACTGGACCCACACTATGAAATATATCTCTTCTCACTTAGAGGATTATATCAAACAGGTCTTTTAAATAATGCAATAGAAGTATCACCTTCCCTGAATAGGATTTTGTCCAGAAGAATGGGGACCAGGCAGATGAAGCTATTTTCTCTAACAAGGTCTTATGATCTTACATATTCTGTGTTCATGACTAGTGCTGAAACTTTATCCTTTAGGGTTTAAACGAGCATATGAGAAGGCTGATATCCTTTAGGAGAAACTTAAACACCAAACAGCAGTAGACACCAATTGGGATAGCTGTCAAATCGTAATTTCCCATCTCTAGGAATCATTCCAAACATCGAGGATGGGACCAGAGTAATCACGTCTAGGTTATATTAGTTAACCTCCCATCTTGAGTCATGGCAGATTGGTCCAAAACACATTTTCTCTCCTAAGAATCTGAAGTTTGAAGATAAAGTCTGGGAGGCACTGAAACCAGACCATGTTAAAACCAAGGGTCTCAAAAAGAAAGTATGAATTCCTGGTGCTGAGGTTCTCAAAGCTGCCCTGGCCCTTCTCTTACAGGAGGCTTTGCAATCCAGCCATTTCCTTTAATCCTCTGATACCCAATTACTTTCCAACAAACCCTTTGCCTACATTATCCAGAACTGTTTATACATACGTGCAACCAAAAATACTTACAAAGTAAATGTATTAGCCTTAAAGAAAATTGTATTACAAATGCAACTTGTGAAATGTCAAAGCTTTTTTCCATTAATCCAACTTAAGACATTTATTTTCCATCTTTAGACAAGTAGACTGTCCATATAATCAATGAATCTTAGAGTATACATCACATTTTGACCTTACAATACCAACTCCTTCTTGCAGAATAGTTTTTGCTTTTAGAATAGTTCTCTGAAACCTAGCAAAATACCAACAGTTTGCTTTTATGTATTCAAAAGGCACTGGAGCCAATTATGTACAAATACTATGCATGTTGGAAGTACATGGTAAACAACCACAAAAAAAGGTTCTTCTATTAAGTACCTTGTATTCTGATGGAAAGAAATAAAAAAATAAATTAAAACACACCAGATAGCAAGTGCTCCTCAGAAAAATAAAGAAAATTATGTGAAACAATGAGTAACTAGATTGCTTTAGATAAAATAGTGAGGGGAGGCTTCTCCGAGTAACATTTGAGCTAAAATCTTAACCACAAAAAGAAGCCAGCCAGTGTACAGCTAACATAAATGCTCTTAGGCTGGGAATAGACCTGACTTGTTCTAACAGCCAATGTGACTACAGGGTATTGAGGAAGAGGGAAAATCACTTAAGATGAGGTCAGAGAGATAGAAAGAACCATATGACATAGCGCTTTGTAACAAACACAAAGAGTCTGGAGCTAATTATAAATTAAGTGGTATAGGACAGGGGGCTACTTGCAACAAGAGGTTTATGGAGAACAGCTGAGCAAGAAACAAGAATGAAAAAGACAAAACAAAAGAAAAAAATTATGAACAGTGGTTATCATAAAAATTTTGGAGCTGAAAGGAAGCTTAGCTGTCACCTAGTCCAACTTCTCATTTTACTGAAAGGATGACACCCAGGCTGTGGCTTCCCTGAGGTCAGATTAAAGATGAGTAGAGAACTGTATCTGGTGCTCTCTGCGACACTCAGGCCAAAGCTAAAACCAAGTCTTTACCATGTGCATTTCCAAAAGTGACAAAGCAGCAATTAAATGAAAACATATCTAAATTTTTTTTTAATTGTCCACACCAAGTTAATCATACTTCTAGTCCCTCACATGACATTTTTTTAAAGCAGCTGACAATGCTTAAGTATTTATCACCAGAGGTATCCCTTCCCAAAGTATGTGAAGCAGAAAAAAAATTGAGTAAGACAACAAAACATACTTACATCTGGATATTCTTTTACAGGCACATAGAGTTTCTCTTGTAACTGAACAATAGGTCCCACAGCATCAGGCAATTCTGCACTCCTTTTCTCTGTACTGCCATTTAATGTGTCATTGTACATGTCTTTCCGTACTCTGCTAATTTCTGTTAAAAGTAAAAATTTTAAATGTGTTAGACAAAAAAATATTCTTGCTAGTCGAGGGGAAAAAAAACAGAAGGTAGGGGAGGGTTTCATCGATAAAGTGTTAAAACTCAAAGACTAAAGCATTATTAACCTAGTCTACCATTCCCTAGATTAAGTCTATGTTGAACAGGACTACAGCCTTAATTATTTTCTACCAGAAATCAAATTTATATTAACCAAATAATATATTT